AAGTGCAGGTTCAAGGAGTCAGTACCAATGATCATTTTGCAAATATGGGAATTAAACCCAAAGGGGTTACAGGAGCTCCCAGTGGCACAGGAAAGGAGGTGGTGTGTGAATATTGTAAGAAGCCGAAACACACCAAGGACAAGTGCTGGAAATTACATCCCAGTCTTGTCTCTATCCGATTCCAGAAGAAAAATGATAGTAGAAAGACAGGAAGTGCACATGTAGCCACAAGTACAGATACAGAGGTTGAGTCTGCCAGTGTACAATTGGCAGCCATGAAAGCTGAATATGAGAAGTTTGGAAAGATGATCAGCCAGCTTAAAGGTGTAACTTCATCATTCAACCCTTCTGGAAGTCCAGCCGCCACCGCATTTGCTCACTCAGGTATAAGGGCTTCTGCTAACCATGCATCCACCTCAGGTAATCCCAAGACCCCTTGGATCATTGCCTCGGGTGTTTCTGATCACATGACCAACCTTTCCACTTTGTTTGTGTCATATGATTTGGTTCCTGGTCGTGACAAAATCACCTTAGCTAATGGTTCTCTTGCCCTTATTTCTGGCAAGGGAACTGTCAAGCCTACAGACTCTTTACTCTTATCTTCCACTCTTCATGTACCTAAGTTAAATACCAACTTGTTATCTATAAGTAGCTTGACCAAGTCATTGAATTGTTGTGTAACTTTTTTCCCTTCTCATTGTGTGTTTCAGGATCTGAAGTCTCAGAAGGTGATTGGGAGTGGCCATGAAGCGAATGGAATATACTTGCTCGACACCCCTGGCCAATGCTTTGATCATCCCAAGAATGTTGCTTTTGGTTCTACTTCTTCAAAGTCTGTCAGTCAAATTATGTCGAGTCATTGTCGATTGGGTCATTTACCTTTTTCTGCTTTAAGTCATTTGCTTCCCAAACTGTTTAAGGGAGTCAGTGTGTTCAGTCTCAATTGTGAGTCATGTCAGTTGTCAAAGCATTGTAGAAAAAATTACCCTGTGAGCAATAAAAGATCTTTTCCTTTTCATATTGTACACTCTGATGTGTGGGGGCCTTACCACTTATCCTCTATGGGGGGTTACAGATANACAAGATTTTGGGGTGATGCTGTACTTACTGCTACCTATCTCATAAACCGTACCTATCTCATAAACCGTATGCCATCCAGGGTTTTAGGGTTTAAATCCCCCTTCAGTCTTCTTCATTCAAACACGGATCTCTTCCCAATTCCTCTTCGTGTGTTTGGCTGTACCTGTTATGTTCACATTCCAAGTGTGCAGAGACACAAGTTTGAACCAAAAGCCCACAAATGCATATTTCTCGGTTACTCCCCCACATAAAAGGGTTATTGTTGTTTTGATCCAAAGACTGGCACCCAACATGTCTCTATGGATATTACCTTTGATGAACTTTCTCCTTTTTATGGTTCCTCTCAGGAAGGACATTGTCAATAGGGGGAGAGTTTGTCACAAGTTTTTGCTCTTCCCCTTCTTGTCCCAGTTGAGTCTCTTGACAAACCTGTATCCTCACCAAATGAATCAAAGGAGGATCAACCACTTCATTCCTCTTGTCCTAGTGCTCCTATTTCTTTACTTCCTCGTCCTACCCATAATCCCAAAGTGTATCAAAGGCAGAGATCTAGGAATGAGCAAGTGGTTTCCTTTACAACAGATGAGGCTCATACACTCCCAATCACAGATGAGATAACAAGTACTGCTTCAGCTCTCTTGGAATCATCCTTCCCAGATCTTGATGTCCCCATTGCTGTTAGGAAAGGAAAGCGGAAGTGTACTGCACACTGCATTTCCAAACACCTTTCTTATGACCTACTTACCCCCTCATACTGTGCCTACCTCTCTTCAGTTGCTTCTAACCCCATTCCTAGGTCTGTATCAGAAGCTATTGGGATTCCAGAATGGAGAGATGCCATGCAGATTGAAATTGATGCTCTACATGAAAATGGTACTTAGGAGGTGGTGGATTTGCCTGAAGGGAAGGATCCAGTTGGGTGCAAGTGGGTTTTTACCATTAAATACAGGGCAGATGGGACTATTGAGAGATACAAGGCCAGACTTGTTGCAAAAGGCTACACACAAACATATGGGATTGACTATCTGGAGACTTTTGCCCCTGTTGCTAAGATGACATCTGTGAGGGTTCTTTTATCTCTGGHAGCTCACTTTGATTGGCCTCTCTATCAGTTAGATGTAAAGAATGCATTTCTGAATGGTGACTTACATGAGGAGGTCTACATGTGTCTTCCTCCAGGAATGT